GTGAACACATTTACCTCAGGCCCCTGGGGCATTTAATGTGGCCCAAAGTACAGAAGACAGAAACACAGCTGCCGTTTTGTATGTATTGCTACTTTTAACTTTCCTTGAAGTTTTGATTAGGGTCCGTAGGATTAATCACAACAAATGCGGTTGTTTCAACCACAAAGATCTGCATTCTCATCATGCATCTTTGAAATCATTTTGAGTCATCAGCTCCTGTGAGAACAAGTCTGACGATAACCCATTCAGGAAGCCCATATTAGAGTCAATGAGGCAGAGTAGAGCGAAAACATAGAAAACACAGCCCTGCAGGTAAAAATATGAATGTTAGCAGGAAGCTTGAAACTGGTTCAATAGACTGCCTTGCAATAAAGGAAAAGGCCACATGTTAAACAACAACAGAACAGGAAGAAAATGCACATGCATGACTTAATGTCACCTTAACCACCAGGTACGTCAGAAGTCATAAATCTCACTGAGCTGTTTGCTGTTGAAAGATTTATATACCTCACAAACAACATGGTGACTTGATTTGAAAAGCGAGGACAAACATAAAATAATAAACAAAATGTTTCCAGAACTGCAACTTCAAAGCCTGACTGAGATTGACATACAGTAGATAGGCACAGTTGTATATCCATGTTTTGGCTCTCAGGAACCTTAAGGGCCACCCAACTGTTAACAAATATCATCAAGATAGATAAGCACCAAGCCAAGGTAAATAAGTCTGCGTCATTGTTTTTATTTTTCTTAGTCTTTTTTTTAGATGAAACCGCCTCATGTAACTTGGTTGTAACTCACGCACAAAATCTAAAAGTATTTGATTCACATTAAGCGGGATACTGATTCTTTACAAGAGGTAGTTTTTATCAGACGACGTCAGGTAGCACCACCGCTAGGAACGAAAAGTAATTTCAGCAGCAGTGTAGAACTGCAGACATTCAAGTTAGATAAAATTCATAAATTGGTTTGACATTTTTGATAAATACATACACGGGAACGCTTTAGATAACCGTACGCAACTATGCTTATTCACTTTCTTGCCAAGAGTAAGATGAGACGATTGATATCACTTAAATGTTTGTAAGATAAATATGAGGCTACAGCCGGCTTAGCACAAAGACAGCCAGCCTGGCTCTGTCCAAGCTAACCAAATTTGCCTAAAAGCACTTAAGCACATTAATTACCACGTTGTATCTTGTTAGCTTAACCTCATGTAAACAGTATCACAACGTAACATTGTCCTTTGATCAGGGCTATGTACTTAATTCACAAAGACTCCCCTTCCAACCAGAAAAACAAAAAGTCACACTATCACAAGCAGATCAGTGAGAAGCCTTTCCAGTATTTTGCTGAAAATATTCTCCAGTCAACAAGTTTCAGGTTTTGAAAATGTATTCAGGTGAAAGAAGAAAATAAGTAAAGAACCTGGTGCCCCAGGTTTTGAGCTGAACTGCAGTCTTAAACTGGGTGAGACTGGCTGAGTCTGGCTGTTTAGGGTGTCTTGCATCAATGAGAGTGTCCTTTTGTTACATACTTCTGACCTTGGTCACCAACCTTTTAGCTTTCACCATGCAGCTTATTTAGTGGGATTTTGAACATGACTCAAGTTTAAGCTAATAAAAACATTCCTACGTTTTTGCTTGTGCAGCCCATCTGTTGTCTGGTCAATTACAATGTTCAGCATTTGAATGCAAGTACAATCAGGTGTTAACAGGGTTGTGAGCAGATATGCATCTGCAGGCTCTGGCCACAGTGCAGGGCTTCATTTCCACTGAATTGTTGGCTCAGAGCTGCCCTCTGTGTGCATACCTGTGCTTGTGCATGAGTCTCAGCATGTGTGTGTGTGTGTGTGTGTGTGTGTGTGTGTGTGTGTGTGTGTGTGTGTGTGTGTGTGTGGTTCTTTGTGTGTTTGTTCCCTGCACCAAGACTTCTGCACATGGGCAGCAAAGGAAGATATGTACATCTGGTTTCAGGCTCTTTTGTATTGCTACACAATGTTCTTCTTTATGTAAACGATATAGAACATAGGTTTATTTGCTGTCAATGGAATATTCCACTAGTTTAAGCACGGTCTTTAACTACATCTAAAATCAGCTCCTATCTTTCATCTCTCAACACGTTTTTCATACTTTCCCTTGAGCATCTAAGCCTTCAAGAAATCAGCATTAAAGCCTTTACATTTCCCAAAGGTGTCATATGACTTCTACCTTGTTGTAGTTGTGATTTTGATCATGGAATGCCTCCTGCTCATCTCTGATCAACTAAGTGCATACAAAAAGATGAGACTTCTCTTTTAAATCAGGCAGAAAGGAATGCACATTTACTCTCAGCTAGCCTTGGGGCCTTAGCTTGCACCTAACATGTTTTTGGAGAACAGTTGAAGACTAATGGCACCTACTGGGGGCTCCCACATGCACACAACTGTATTATACACTGCTATAATGCCTAACTATCAAATGATCCTATGAGACTGAATTTGAATGTTATAGTATCATGTACAAATTATTAAGACCAACAGTTGTGCTAATAAAAGGGTAGACTGAGACAAATGTACCGTAATCAGGTCATTGAGAACATGAGAACAAAATACTTGATTTTTTTTGTTTACTTTGCAATTGCTGTAATGTTATTGTTATAAATTACCCCATAATTAGTTATTATCTGTGAAGATTTGATAGTAATCTCAGAAAATGCTGATTCTTTTTTCTAGAGCTGACTTTATAATCCTTTAATGAATCTGTCCTTTCATTTTAAAGTCAAAAGAAATACCGTCATGCCCTTGTTGTGTGTTTGTGTGTGGGAGATCACATGAATGCAAGTGGAGGCATGAGGGTTTATGTACACTTTCACCAACTTTTCAAAAATATCCTCCTGCCCCTGGCTGTTTTTTGTGTCCGTTTACCAACAGAATCCTGATCCACCAAGAAGATGTCTACACATCTCAGTGATTACTTTACAGGGTCCTTTGTGGTGAACTCAGCTCTATCCAAAACATTCACAGTTCAATAGATCCTTTTGCAAAAGCTGTAAGTGAAATAGAGAAGGCACGCAGCCTTCCTGGCACTGTCACAGCTTTAGGAGCCTTCACATCTTAATCTTCCAAGGAGAAGTCAAAACTAATGATAGACTACCTTAATGAAACAATGACTAACGTTCTCAAATTTAGAATACCCTCTCTCATTAAAGACTCATAACTAAGATCCAATCCAAACACCATCTGATTCATCAACTACTAAATTATGCCAAACAAAAGGGGAATTCACAACATCATACACAGTCAATTAAAAGACACTGTTTTCATGGGAATGATTGAAATATTGAAAATAACAGGGATGCGAGTATTTATTTTCTTGTGTTCTTAGCGTCGGATCAATGATACCACCTCTAAATGAGCTAAAGCCCTGATAACAAAGGTTGAAAGGCTCCGTCAGCTTATAGCCTTAACCTTAATAGTGGCACTGTGGGGACACAACATAGAATTAAATGTAATTATGAAAAAATGTTTCCAACCCAAGAGGTGCCTGTGAGAGGGAAATCAGAGAAGCTGTATTCATTTCACACAGCCCCCGGCTGCAGAGAGGATATGGCAGTCCTTTTCATATTGGCAGCTGTTTGATCAGACTAACAGCGCTCCTTAGCTGAACCATAGCTGCAGGTCTGATCTAAACTCCTCATCAGATTCAAAGGAGACACCGCGTCTCTGATGCACTCCAGGCTCTTTCCATAAACACAGCTGAATTATTCCTTTGAGCGCCTTAGCTTGATACTGGCCTCCATTTTCTTTTAAAACATAAGGTATTTTAACAACTGACAAACCTCAAAGATATGGGATAATGCTACCCACAGTTTCAAAGTGTCACCGTTATATCTGCCAGCGAGGGTGTGAAGTTTTGCTGTGAGTGCAGCTGATAGCTTGTAGATCAATTTCAGCTGATAGTCTTCTCTGTGCATTGTGGGACATAACAGGGAAAGTAGAGGGCATTCAAAAGAAAGAGAGAAAGAATTCACCACAGACACTGACAGTGAATGGAGGGGCTAGCTCACATGGTTTTGTGTTGTGCGTTGATTATGGTTATCAGACCCATAGTAGATGACTGATAACCGAGGTGTGGCGTTGTGTAAGTGTAAGTGTATGTGTGTGTGTGTGTGTGTGTGTGTGTGTGTGTGTGTGTGTGTGTGTGTGTGTGTGTGTGTGTGTGTGTGTGTGTGTGTGTGTGTGTGTGTGTGTGTGTGTGTGTGTGTGTGTGTGTGTGTACCTGTGCGATCTGAATGACTGCACAACAAAGAGTCTAACTGGATTTAGTCAAAGCTCAAACTCTGATGCAGCTGCATTCCGGGAGGTTTATGATGTGAAACACCAAAGGAAAGGAAACAATGATCACATTCATGAGATGTCATTTTCTTCCACTTTTATCTAAGGAATTTGTTGGGTCCCCCACCCCCCCCTTTTGTTTCATAACGTAATGTGTCCACCTCATCCAAAGTGGGTCTTTGTGGAAGGCTTTGTTTTGGAAAGATTGACCTCATTCTCACTAATAAGGTGTAGTTTAGCTACCTCTACAGTAGCATCTGTCCTACATACTATACACACACTATGTTATACAAATAGGCTTACATTTCAGTGTGAGAGGCTCAAAGCTTAACATTTTTAGAAAAATGCAGTAAATCAATCAATCAATCTTTTTTTAGTTAAAGTTCCCCTTGGGATTATAATCATGCTTACCTTACATCTAAAGTAACTGTAAACAAAACTTCTTCGGAAGCCGATTAAAGTCAAATATGCCATTTACAAGTACGATGTGAAATGTTATGCCTCTAGTTGAATACACTTAACATTGACTCAATTGAACACACAATATTTACATATTCGTAAAACCTGGAACTTTCAATAAGGGAGAAAGAGAACACCTTAAAACAGAAAGTGAATTTATTTTGTTGAAAATAAGACACACATTATCATTCCAAGTAGTGTATTTAAATGTCTTAGAAATATCTGGAGGGGAGCTTTTAATGCCCAATGACTTATGACTGAATCATCTTCACATGCTCTAACAGCTTGATCTATTTAAGGCGAAAACATGGCATAATCCTATGATCTCAGACTACAGCAAACATTGAGAGACTGTTCGGCTGGCAAATGACTAACCAAAAACAAACAATACATAAACAATGGGGGACCACAGCTCATCAAACTTGATTTATTTATTATTTTATGCACTTTGTATTGTTACTAAGACACACATTTGTTATTTGGTGAAATAACACAATTTAGGCCCTGCATTAACTCTCATGTTTGCATTGTGTCTTATAAAGAAAAGAGCAGAAAGCCACTGAAGGTTGTTCTGTGGTAATGGTCGTCCCAAACCTTTCCCCTAAGTTGTACTGAAACAACATCTCCCACTTCTAACTGCAACACTACACCATTGGATACATCAGCATAATTTGACCCATAGTTATGGTGACCTGAGGTAACTATAAGATCCTCGTTCATGAACATTTTCATTATCATAGATATGTCAGAGTGTGCTAGATGGCCAGTAAATCTGAAGTAATACACTCCTCTTGCTGGTGCAGTGAAGTAACCTAAACACAGACAGAAAGAAAAGTCTCAACTGATAGAAGTGGAGAATTAGACCAAGTGGTTAATTTATTTTTAAAAGGCCAAATACCTGTGTCTAGGTTGTAGTGGTTTCCAATGTTCGTAAATACATTTTTGTAGAGGAGTGGAGCATCTTCTTTCTCTGTGTTACCCTGACCAGATGTCAGAAGGGAGGCAGAAAAGGCCAGTTTCCTCACTGTGGCAAAGTCAAAAATACAAAATCAATTCAGAATGTGTTCTTTCTCAACACATACTGACATATAACAACATTTTTGCACAAAACACAGAGAGGAAAAAATAATTTACCTATGTTAGTATTTTGAAGTTCCTGTATGTCCATCTCTTGTCCTAAAATCACGAGCCACTCATTCATAACCATTTGCACACAAATCACATCACACATATCACAATTAATATGTCACACAAATGATAACAAAAACCTTAACCTTCCTGCTGTTGCTCCAGCTCCATGATGAGGCCCTCACTGACGGTGAGTCTTAGCTCCAGAGTGCTGAGCTCCTGCTGAGCGACTGCAAGCTCTGTAGCTTGAACTTAAGGGACATAAAAATAGAACAAAAGCACAACCATATTGTTAAGGTTTAGTCAAACTCAACAGAGAGATCGAAATACCATTCCAAAAATCCTGAATACAAAATACAAATATATATACAAATATGTATATATATATATATACACAATCAACAGACACATTAAGACATAAATAAAAGCACAATATATACAAAATAACAGTCACTTAAATATATCTTTGATAAATGTACATTAGTGCAAGACTGTCCATTTAAACCTCAATTATTCAACACAAAAATACTGCATATAAATGGGGTAAATACATGGCACATGCACAAAACCCTGGTATTTTGAGGTTCCTGCTCTGCCACAGACACAACAGTAGCTACATGCACAAAGTTCATAAACCTTTAACATTACCTTCCTGTTGTTTCTCCAGCTCCTCCACACGTTCCTCACTGACTGTCAGTCTTATCTGCAGACTGCTGAGCTCCAGCTGAGCAACTGCAAGCTCTGTAGCTTGAGCTAAATGACAGAAAAGGTGATAAAGGTTTACTTTTTTGGAATCAATCCAAAAAAGTTTGCAAAAGTTATGGTTGTTTATAATGAAAGGATGGCCAAGTGTTTACCGTCATTTTCCATCTGCAGTTCCTCTGCCAAGCTTTCAGCAGCAGTCATCCTGGCCTCCATGGCTGTGACAGAGTGATCATGTAAACTCAGCTTCATATATTTTGTTATGAAGCGAGTCTTTTCTTACGGTTTACCTGTATTCTCCTTCTCCAAGGCGTCCACCAGGCTCTCAGCAGCGGTTACTCTGGACTTCAGGTGCCTCAGCTCTACTTTCTGCTCCACCACCATGTCTCTCAAAGCCCTCAGCTCAGCCCAGACGTCAGTCTGAAGCACCAGCTCATTTTAACCTCCTTCAGCTTCAGTCCTGCAAAGAGAGCAGACTACCAGTAAGAAGACCAAGGAAGCCTTCATCTTGTTTGGAAATGATCGTCGTCTGTTTGCTGTCTGTGGCATAGCTGTACACTGGATCAGCCATTTATGTGTGTATTCAAGGTCAGATGTGGCAGGTGCATGGTGATCTGCCAACGTTGTGAGAAAGCACACCTGTTGCAAGTGGTGAAAGTAGGGCGAGAACACAAACAGAGAGATTATTAAGAGCGACTTACTGGTAGAGTTGTATCTTGGAGTCCTTCCATCGGTCCATAAGTCCATCTAACAGCTTTTATACCAAAAATAGTTGAACATGGTAAATACATGTAGGCTAAAAACCTAACAACAACTTAATAAACCTATGGGTGAATTAACACTACTTTGACAATGTCAACATACATTTTCATATTGTGATACAATTGATATCATAATATACATTATAATCTTGAACCTAAATGTAGGATGTGTGGCAGATTTGTTGTATAAAAACTTTTTTTTGTATCTGTAATTTGGGTAAATGTAGGTTTAAATGTAGTTTTCATTAACACAGACAATTTTCAATCCCACACACGAACAGCATATCATTTTGTCATTGTTCACATTGTGTCACGGAGGAAACCAGACAGGAATCAGACTTCATTTTCTTTCTCTTGTTGTTGATGTAATCTAGAAAAATGGTTTTATGTCAGGTGAAGCTGTTTTTCAGAATTGATTTGGAAAAATCTTAAACAACTTGAGTGCAAACATCCTTACAGTTCCCTCAGCTTCCCGCAAGTCATTGTGAAGAGTTTGGTAAATTTCCCACTGCAATAAGACCATTATCTGGGCGTGTTGCTTGTGAGTCATAAGCGTGTGCATCAGTGACAAGTTAGACAATTAGCCAGAAATAACATCAAATCAACCTGTCGTTAAAATAATATTTCTCAAAGCATATAAAGTGCAATGAATGACATGATTTATGCTGATTGCTGCTTGTGTTTATGAATACGAATATTGAGCATCTGTCTGTCAGAATAAAGCTGCGCACTGCCACACACAACAGGGTTTACGACAGATAAACACACAGGCATCAATCTCTCTAACAAAACACTGCCAGTGCTCAGGTGGCGTGTGAGAGAACACAACTGAGTGTTGTCTCAGTACAACAGCAGATAATACCGTGCTGTTTCATGTCTAATCACTCAAGAAAAAAATACATAACACAATCTTTCAGAATCCTGTATTCACGCTGGTTTTTATAGATGATATTCCTGTCATAAAAAGACTTTGCTTTGGGGGTAAACACAAACAAATGTACATATTTCACAGAAGTTTTAAAGAAGAGTTTTTTCGGGAAAGAGAACACAGGTTTTCCTATCCTGCATGGTGCCGGAGGGGGCAGAGATAACGAGAGTAATAGTTAGACTGCGGTCACATTGGTATGCAGACAGTCATGAAAGCTGTACAGTACCTGTTGCATCTTGCAAATTCATTTTGTGGAATATTGTGAAATATCACCACTTAAATTGGGGAGGCCCATTTTTTTAATCGCAATTCAAGGGATAAATGGTGAGGTTAAACAAACAGAAATGGTTTGGATTACATATTAGCTACTGGTGTACAGATGCCTACTGATAACTCACGCACATCATTATCAAAGAGGCTAAAGAAAAATATAATGATGATGTATAGATGTTGAAGATTATAAGGGGCGGCTATCTTTTATTGAAAGTTTGTATATAAAAGCTTCCACATAAGCGTTTGCCCTGTATAAACTTTGCAATGCTTTTTTCTTGTTGTATTCTTAGAATTACAGTATTCTTAGATGTTTAAACAGGGATGTATAAGTCAACTAGCATGCATTAATGTATCCCTGGTCTCAACTGTCTACAGCCACACACCTCGTGACCCTACAGTGCTTCACAGCTGTGCTCTGAGCAGCATGATGCTTTGATGTTAATGCAACTGTAACTATGATAGAGAATCATAGTTACTCATCTTTAGTTGGATATTAATGTCTTTGCCATTTAATGTAATCCATCCATAGTTTTTAGGACATTTTACTCAATCCAAAAATGGCAAACTCAGAAAGGCTGACCCAAAACGTCAGATAATTAACAATTATTGAAACAAGGATTAATCATCTGGGAAACATGAATGTCAAAATGTAGTCCGAGGAAGAGGTACCGAAAGGGCAAAGAGGCCATTGACTCCCCCACTTCACACCCTTCAGCCCAATTCGGTGCCATGACTGGTGGGATCTGATTGCAGGATGGTCTCCTGTCTGTAACAAAATGATCCGTCTCTGTGTTTGTATTTGGAAAGAAGACCGGAGTTTGCGTGGTTTATAAAAAGTCACGGTAAATTTGACAAATATTGTAATTTCTACTTACCTGTCTGACCTGTTTAAACCCCACCACTATCCTCCCAGTTACGGTGGTACAAAGAACAATCAGGAACTGCATCTCCATTGCTGATACAGCATATTACATTTGAAACAGATGAACAATTGAAGGATGACTACATGTAGGTCCGATGGTGTCATTCTGCGTAATAATATTTAGCTTGGTGCTTCTTAGAGCACGTACATTATTTTCAGAGTAACAGACCGGGTCAGAGCTGGTTGATGTCGCCAGGGAAAAGAAAGTTTGGGGCTCTCTGCTGGAACTGCTACCCCCGCGACCCGACCACGGATAAGCGGGAGAAGATGGATGGATGGATGGAGACCGGGTTTAATGCAAAACAAATGGGGACTTTTGGGGTTATTAATAGGCTGTCCTCAACTGCTCCTCCTGCTCAATGCAATAATTTGAATGAGATGAAATCGGGAACAGACAGCTGTCAAACTGCTGCCTACTACTTAATAATGTTTTTTTTTAAATGTTGCACACAGAATGAGCATTTTCACAACGTTTTTTTCCCATCTGAATATTTCTGAGTAACTTCATTCTACATCTACATGGATTTAAACAACTTTGAATTGGTGAACTGACCGGATACTGACACATTTCATACTTCACAGTTTCACATATAAGTCTTATTTTTCTTATTCAGAAAATGGAAAACATAGTTTGTGGTGTCAAAAGCCACACATGCCGAACATGTCTGGCATTACATTCTGTCAAAATGGCAGTTTACAAGCCAACGCATTATCTGTGCCTCCTCTCCCATTGGTCAGAGAAACTGTTTCCAAAGTGTCGACCTGTGATTAGGAATCCAGTAAATCTTCCCTCCCAGGGAGCCTTGGAGAAATCTTTCCTTCAGGTCAATCCACTGCTGCAGGGATGAGCCTGGCTCTCCTCTGTAGATGCCCTCTGGACTGAATCTCTAACAGAGATCTCTTCCTTTCTGACCTTCTCACAGGTCAGACAGAAGGCAAAAAGTCCATTTTAAGGGATTGGTTAAATTCTCCATGCATGCAGCTTGATCAATCCCATTCCTAAACAAGGAATATTAGGTATATGGTGCAATATCTGCTGAAGTGAGATAAGATGACACCTAAGCAGAGCTATCAGGCGCCTCGAAGTGACAGGCAACTTTACATACCTTCCTTCATTCACCTCTCAGGCAAATTCCTCTCTTGCCATCTTTCTCTCTGCATTTCTCAACTCTTCATCTCTCTTTTTTTCCATGGAAGATAAGACAAACATGATCGCTCATTCTGTACTTCTCTACCCGTTGTTTTACGTTTAATCTTACTATTTCCTTGTGATTGCCCTGTTTCTTTTCATGCCCAGCAGGCCAAAATGTGATCCACTCAATATCTTAGCTTTAACTGAACTCATCAATTGGGTTTTTCACTGATTGAGTTCTCACAGCCAACTTTATTGTCTCATAATGTAATTGAGGTGTTCTGTCAATGATCAATCATCATACCCCATTGTCAATATAATTACTTATAATCGAAATGTTGACACATAACATCATCTACTACAATAATAACTATCTATGGTGAAGGTAATCACTCCGAAAAGAAACCAATCACAGTCCTGTGTTTCAAGATCTGACCCAGCAAATCATACAGAGCAGTTGGGTTGAGTCTGTAACACACACACACACACACACACACACACACACACACACACACACACACACACACACACACACACACACACACACACACACACACACACACACACACACACACACACACACACACACACACACACACACACACACACACACCCACACACACACACACACACACACACACACACACACACACACACACACACACACACACACACACACACACACACACAAAGCTACTGTATGATGAAGGCTTGACTGCAGGTAGTTAGCTTCAGCCTAATCTAATGATGCATACTTCCCCCTGTTTATGGCAGCCAGGGAGCAGGGAGCGCTAGCCTGTGCTTGTCTGCTGCTGAGAATGCCCATTAACGCTCTTTTCCCCTCAGGTGATGACCACCTGAGCTATCAAAGACAAGCATGTCTGTATAACCACCCTCCCCCTCCTCTCCCTCTCGTCCCACCCCGCCTTTTACTCCGACCTCCACCCAGACACATACTGTACAGTCCCTTGCATATTAGTTGTTTTTTCGCTCCAAAAATTGCATTTAGATACCAAACAGATCACCCATTCTAGCCATGCCTCATATCCCTCTATTTCACTTCCTGTTTCAAAAGTGCTGATTTTAGGTATAAAGCTTTTTTTTTTTAAATAAAGATTAGAAAAAGAGGGGCTTATGCCTGCTCATGCTGGAGATTCTACCGGCAGATACTGCCGTGATGAAACGCCATATCATGGATTATCAAGGATTATTTCTGAAACAGTATGGAGCTCAAAGGCTTTCTCTCTTGCCGGTTATACCACAAGGTGAGTTACTTTTTATTTCCTGCTTCTTCACACACATGCTCTCTCCAGTATAGGTTAGCTCTGAGTGTTAGCGATGCTAATGTAAACACCGACCATATTACATCCAAAACAGTTGGGCATTGTTTCTGATAGCAACGTTTCTGATAGTGCTGTGGGTCTGCATTGCCGATGACGTCATATCGGACGTAAATCTGGATCAGCTCCGTTGTACCCCCCTTTTGAGAGATTTGGGTACGGAGGAAAAGAGAGAGGGTTTTATTTTTCTGACGCTGCATGAGTTCCCTGACTCACCGGGGACACATATTTACGTATAAAAGACATCAAAAAGTGCATTTTGCATGATAGGTCCCCTTTAAAATGTAAGAAATGGCTTAACTTCCAGACTCAACTATAAAATTCAAACACATTGTTTTAAAAATATATATTAAAAAACAGTTTGAAGAGCGTTGCAGTTTCATATTTCTTTTTAGCTTTTGAAGAAATCTCAAAGCCACGTATCATATGGATCTTTAGATTGTGATGAATCTGTTGATATGACATGTCGGGCCATTTTAAGGGGAAACAGGCTCCCAAGTTGAACCGTCTTAACAATTAAGTCCAGGAGAACTCAATGCTCAATGATTGCTTCTTAATAACTTCTAGTATCTGATAAAAAAAATCCCCTTCTTAGTGAATGACTAGTACTTAAGTAGTGCTCTAGGCAGCATCAGCAGTCAGTCAGCTCATAGCGGCATTATAGAGACACATTCTTGTGCACAGGGTCGAACATAACCATTTTGCACCTGTTTTAAGGGTTTGGAGGAAACAAAGATGTATTGATTCTAGGCTTTTTCTTGTTAGTGTGTACACATCCTTCTGTTCTTCCACTAACAAAACATCTACACTGGAGCAATGTGG